AGAAAGAAAGAAAGAAAGAAAGAAAGAAAGAAAGAAAGAAAGAAAGATGGATGGATGGATGGTCAGACAATGGATAATGGATAAATATTGAAGGAATGGATAACAAACAAATGGATAATGAATGGAGGGATGGAGGGAGGGATGGAAGAATGAATTGATGGAAAATGAATGAATGCATGGATACATTATGAATGGATGTATGATGATGAATGGAGGGTGGATGGATAAATGTTGAATGGATGGATAACAAATGAATGGATAATGAATGATGGATGAATTGATGGATGGAAGAATGAACTGATGTAAAATGAATGAATGCATGGATAAATAATGAATGGATGGATGGATGGGTGGACAATGAATGAATGGATAAATATTGAATGGACGGAACAAACAAATGGATAATGAATGGATAGATGAATTGATGGATGGGAAAACGAATTGATGTAAAATGAATGAATGCATGAATAAATAATGAATGGATGGATGGATAAATGATGAATTGATAGATAACAAATGGATAATGAATAATGGAACAATTGATGGATGGAAAGTATGAACGCATGGATAAATAATGAATGAATAATGGATGGAGGGATGGAGGGATGGCTAAATTAACTTTTTAAATTAAATTAAATGGATAATTACTGACAAATAAACGGATAATGAATGATGGATATATGAATTGATGGATGGGAGATTAATTGATGTAAAATGAACGAATGCATGGATAAATAATGAATGAATGAATAATGGATGGATGGATGAACTGATAGCTAATCAAACAATGGATGGATGAATCAGTGAACTGATAATAGACAGATGAACGAATAAATGAATGGATGGATGAATAAATGGATGGATAATGAATGGATAGCGGGATAAATAATGGATGACTGAACGGATAAATAAATGAAATTCTTGGCATGGGAAACCCCTGGAGTCTCTCTGAATGAAGATGGCTGAAAAAGGGTCCATTCCCTTTTCTTCCAGGAAGCCATTGCTCTCCTGTCCCGTCCCGTCCCGTCCCGTCCCCCCACACACACACCCCTCACCTGTCTGCCCTTCTCACCTTCTGCTTGTACTGCTGAAGGAGGCTGTCCAGGTTGTGCCTCCGTTTGTAGTTAAAGTAGAAGTTTTTGCACTGGGCTTCGCTCTTTGTGCCCACCATCTTGGCGATGGCCGCCCAGTTGCGCCCGTGTTCCACTAACCCTGCCAAAACACAATATAACATTGGGTCAGACCCCCACGGCCTCAGTTCATTTTTGAGCCAATCGCCAGGAGATGATGAGTTCTAGTCCCGCCTTAGGCACGGAAGTCAAGTGGGTGACTTTGGGCCAATCACTAGGAAACTGTGAGTTCTAGTTCCA